CCCCAAAACCCCAAAACCCCAAAACCCCACAAAAGAAGCTGAAGATTGAACTTATAAACTTTTAGAATAAATAATGGATTATATTGGGGCATTCCCAGAAAACTATTCATTTGAAGGAGATAGTCAATCCTTTGACCAGGTGAGGTGACGGATCTTTAGCAACAATAAAGGTTATTTATATGCCATAAAGTTCTTGCTTGTAGGGTTCTTCAGAAATTATTCCTTTCTTTGTTCGATATAACCTAAGTAATGTTTTCATAGTGGAAATTAAACATAAGTTTTTTTATAACAACATCAGTTTCTTGTATTAATAAAAGGTTTAACAGTAGTTAATCATTGAAGTCAAAATTTAAGATCCCTAATTGTGTTATTTAGAGCAATTTTAACGATATTCCTGATGAAGAATTTCTCCATTTTCTAAAAGAAATCAACAAGTCGCATGAGGAAAATCTTCATATCCCAACGATAAAATGGACTTTGGATAAGGTAGACATTAACGAGAAAATGATGCTTCCCGATACACATCCTGATGATTTATTTGGAGAGGAGTCCACTTCAGGGATGGAGATTAAGAAATTTTCTGAAAATTCTTTGAATCCAAGTATCCCAAACGTGATGAAGAAGACTTGTAAGAAGACCGAAGGCTCTTCAAGGCCAGATATTGAAAACAGAAAGGCATTGAGGATTGTGAAGAAGTTCTTTCATCAACTGTTTCTTTATCATAACGACAAGCTTAAAAATAAGAGATTTACTAGGGTCAGTTCATCAGAGATTCTTGAAGCCCTTGAACAATTGGTATCTGTATACATCCCCCAAACTCCTTCAACAGAGATGGCAGAGTGTTTGTTTCATTTCCTGAACTTTCACTCTTCAGATGCATCCCAACTAGAATCAGAAGCTGCATTAGCCGGAATGAAACTTTACGAATGCACTCATAAATATACAAGATATCTTTTCAACCGTTTACCCCAATCAGTCTACGTCAAACACCTAATAACATCATACACAACTCTCAAATGCACTCCTCTCCCTTCCATCCTCTCCCTCCACCACTCCCAAACCTGGCCTCACCAATACCACAAAAATCCAAAAAACCTACACAAAATCCTCACTCACCTTCTCTACCAAAAAACCCCTCCCCCAATCCAAGCCAGCCTGACCAGACTCCACGATCTCTGCCTGTCCCCTCCAAGTATAAAATAATTTTTCCCTAAAAATTCCACTAAGTGCCTTGTCAGCCCACTTTGTTCTGCGCCACTACTAAAAGTTTGTTCTGTGGAATGCTTCTTGTGGGGCAAGGGAGGTTAGGAGGAGAGTGGGGAAAGGGAGGGTTTGGGAGTGGGACTGGGGATTTTGGGGGAAGAGGGGTAGAAGGGAGGAGAGGGGAATTGTGAGGGGTTTTAGGGGTGGTGTTTAATGGTGGGGTATTTGACTCTTGAGGAGATTTTTTGGCAAATTTAGAGTTTAGTATGCAATTTAGGAGGTAATAAAGAAAAATTGCTTGGGAAACAATTTAGATACAAACTCTCTTCTCTTAAGTCTAGAGATTAAAATTTATGTAAAAGAATTTTATTACAGGAAATAGCACATTTACCAATATCAATTAAATTCGGGCAATTAATGATCGAATGTTGGTCATCCAATAACCCAGACCTCAGGAAATGCTTGAAATGAAACATCATGGTAGTCTGTTCCTTATCATCAGATATCCTAAATAAAATTCGATAAGATCACTCTAAGTTTCCATGAAACAAATTCATTAAGTCTGATATGATCGGGTTGATAATGGTGCAATTTTAAAAATAACAGAATAAGCTTAAGCAAGAGTGTATACCCGTAAATCTACAGGTCTTCTTAAATGCTAGTGTTTATCTAGTTGAGAGGCAATAAAATTACCATTTGCTAGAAAGTGAGGTGTCTGCAGTGCATTAACCGAACATATTATATTTCGATGAACAAAATCTTAACTTAAGAGTACTCTCTCAGATTCTGTTATTTTTAACATAATCTTGTCTCAAAATGTGTTCCTTTGTGGGATTATGCTCCTCCTAGGATTCATAGTAAAGCTTTTAGATTAATGAACATATTAAAATTATGAAATTCTCCCAATTTTTGTATCCGTAGTAGGTGACTGAATTGGATTATCAAGTCCTTTAATTAAGAAAAATATGAATTGAAATGACAAGTTTAGACGTTATATTTGCTAACACAAACCTACCTTGCTTACCAAATAAATCAGTTGAGCCTTGTCATAACATAAAGGAAAGATTATCGGGCTCTGTAAAGATGTGACTTTCTGTCTACTTACTCACTTTAAAGTTTATATTTCGATTCAAAATTTACTTCCAACATTTTTGAGAGTAGATCTACAAAGATGGTTTAAGAAAGAACACAAGAAGTTAACCAGGAAGTGAGTAATAAATAATAGTTGACTTTTAGTAAATATTTGCTAATTTATCTTATTTAAGGAAAAATAATTCTAATAGCCTCTTTTTAAGAGAAATTATATAACTTAACTCTCTATAAAGCTATTTCCCGTTAATAATAAATTTTGAGGACATATCAACTGTAACAGCTCATTCTGGAATTTTAGCTGAAATAGCTGATAATTGATTTAGTAAAAAAGAGAGGAAGTTTATCCGAATGCTTTATTTTTGGAGTTATTCAAGATGAGCTTAATCCTTAGGATGCTTTTGGGTAATAAAGGTCTGGTTTGAAATGATAATTTAGTATGGAACTCTTCTAAATATTAGAAATACCACTTTTCGACATATTAAATTCAAATTTTTCTTATTAAATGACTCAATTCTTCAATTATAAAACTTTTCTAATATACCTTTCAACCATAACCAATAGTCCCGGGGTTTTGGGGTTTTGGGGTTTTGGGG